GCCGTGCTGTGCTGTGCTGTGCTGTGCTGTGCTGTGCTGTGCTGTGCTGTGCTGTGCTGTGCTGTGCTGTGCTGTGCTGTGCTGTGCTCTGTTGTGGTTTTATATATTTATATTTGTTATTTCATATATTTATTTTGTAAACATGTTTTTCAGAGAGTCAAAAAACAAATCCAGGAACTTCTAGAACCTTGGATGTTGACCAAGAAGTGTCAGGTTGAGTCCCTTCTTCAAATTCTGTTCACCATCAAAGAACTAGTAACCAAGGTACATGAACATATTGTTTGTTGATTATTACAAAAACTTTTAAGAGTTTGACTAAGATACATTTTTAGGAAATTTGAAATTTGCATATTTATGGAGCTATTAACTGAAACTACCAGAATCCCTTGCACACTTTATTAGTTTATTAATTAGCGCCAATTGTCTCACTATTCTCATGCGAAAGTACAAATTTGAACTATGAATAAAAAAGAAAATTTGTGAAGAAGTTTGGTAGTGGTTGTAAAAATGACACCATTGTGCAAACGGCCTACTGTATTGCGATCATGAAAGACCATTGCTTGTACGGATAGCTGTTCAATTGATAAGCATGGGCAGAATAGTCCATTTCACGGTTACCTGGACGTCATCTTGGATTTGCATGAACGCGAGGCTGACCTTAAGTCGTCTGGAAAGGCTTGAAAAGTTTATACGGTAGTTCCGGTGACTGTTCAAGTAAAAATGAGCTCAAAACGTTTGAAAAATGAGAGAAAAACCGTAGGTCCGCAATGTCGGTGCTGCCTATGGCTGTACAAATGTTTTTTATGAGAACCCAGACTTGAATTTTGTCTCTTTCCCGAGTGACAAATGGGGCCGAGGCACGCCTCTTTTAGCTTGCAATGTATGTTTTACCTTTTTTTTTACCCAAATTTTCTTCTATTAATATGAGTTGTGTGGGTAATTTCTGGTGACCATACAGTAATTATTTTAAGAAATTCTTTGGAAGCATGTCCAAGACATCCAATGAGATTCGTTTATTGAGAAGTTTTCCAAAACCCTCCATTCCCCCCCTCTTTGTCAGAATCCTGGATCTGTCCCTGCTATGAGTCTGGTCCAAATGTATTTCCTGTAAATTTTATCATTCATTGAGCAGTTGAGAAAAAAACGGGGTCAAGTTGGGATTGCAGTGCAATTTGGTACTTGTTTTTGGGGGCGAAATAAATGCCATCTTCAAAAAATATGCTCCATAAAAGAGCCCCACAATGTACTGCAATGTCAACTCGACCCAGATCTTTTCTCAACCTTGGAATGCTCAATAGTAACATTCATCATTAATACTGACACAGGATGAGAGTAGTTTCAGTCAACATGTGGTCAACTGGATTGAATTCTCACTAAAGATTCTAGTCAACTCTTCCATGGTTACCAATGGTGATCAGAAGCTATTGGCTTTAGATGTGAAAGGCAATGTCAAAGTTATCAAAACCACCCTCTCAGTGGTCACTGTTCTTTTACAGCAGCTACTTCGACAGCCAAGTAAGTGTTGCGAGATGAAAGTATTGAGTGTGATGCTAAATGTGATACATACACAAAGTAAGAATAAATACAACCCAATATAGACACCTTGCATGTGACATCAAAGCAGCACAATTTGGAGGACAAAACATAAGAAGCTCTTGAGAATTGGAAACCCATTGTTATGTCATCCAAATTGATATGCATTCAAAGGTACTGCAAGGGGTCTATAGGCTGTTAGGAAAGGTATAAGTTTTTTTTCGAGGGGGGGAAGGGGTGGGGCTTCAGAGGGGAGGGTCATCATTAAGAATTAAAATTTTGTATAGATTCAAACCTTTTTTGAGGAAACCTAGCTGTTTCCTTCTAGACTTATAGTAATAAGAGGGTCATGAATTTTGACAATTGTAAAAGAGAAAGGGGTTACAAGCAAGCCTTCAATATATAAATTATTGGACCCTGAGCAAAATTTTAGATTGTATAAGATATTTCAACTGTATTGCACAGTTTTGATCACTATGAACCATGAAACATGTACAAACTCTAGGGTATACAACAATCTTATTATTTGACACGAGTAGAATCTAAACTCATTTGACTGATAAAGACTGTGCGATACACTTGAAATATCTCACACACACAGAGCACACAGATTACCTAGCTAATGTCGCGGGGGGGGGGGGGGGGGAGGGACGGTCTGGAGGATCGCTCCGGAGATGCTATCGTTATCAGAATGGCTTATAGGGTTCAATAAAACTGATCAATGTTGGACATTTTAGATGAAAAAGCGGAGATGGCCCCCGGGGGGGGGGGGGGGGGGGGTACTACACTAGGGGTGTGCCGCCAGGACCTCAAAACCCTGACCCTATCCCAGACCTAAAATTTTGATTTTACATACCCTACCCCAGACTAAAACTAAGAATCGTACACCCTATCCCAGACTAAAAGACGGAAAATACGGTCTTACGATCGATTGCAATCAATATTTACTTACGTTTTTATTGTTTTTGTGCCGGCAGAAAGCGTAGCCTATTCGCCAGACAAAAATGACCAAATCGTTAACCCTATCCCAGACTAAAATGATACCCTATCCCAGACAAAATGTCAAAAAATGATACCCTACCCCAGACCCAAAAGCC